GGCTCCACTGGCAGCTGCTCGGGGGGGCTGTGACTCTTTACAGGGCTCAGGGCCCAGCCCCTGCTAGGGTAGCACCACAACTGGGAGCCAGGAGCCATTTAAATAGGATCCTGCTGCCTGGAAATTGGGTGGCCCAGGCAGCAGGCTCTGAATAGAAAGGATCCGAGTGCTAGGTGGGCCAGATCTGGCCGATGGGCTGCGTCTTGCCCAGCCCTAGCTTAACCCAGGTGGGGCTCGGCAGAGGGATCAGGGCCCAGCCCCTGCTAGGGTAGCACCACAACTGGGAGCCAGGAGCCATTTAAATAGGATCCTGCTGCCTGGAAATTGGGTGGCCCAGGCAGCAGGCTCTGAATAGAAAGGATCCGAGTGCTAGGTGGGCCAGATCTGGCCGATGGGCTGCGTCTTGCCCAGCCCTAGCTTAACCCAGGTGGGGCTCGGCAGAGGGACATTCGAACGGGTCTTCTCCCATCCCAGCAGCTCAGCTGAATGAGATGTGATGGGACCGTCGTGCTTCCTGGTGCCAGTGAACAAGGGGTTAACTTTAGCTCGGCAGCCCCCTGCTTGGGAGAGGAGGGAGAACACTTTGGGGAGGATCCCGGCCGTCCCAAGGGCCAAGAGCTTCTCCCTTTTGTGGAGAAGACTTTGCCGATTGCGGCAGGGTCCCTCTGCTGAGCCGTTCCCAGGGAGCACGGGATAAACGGCTGTGGCTGCCCAAAGATGCCCTTTGTGGGGCAGTGCCCCACCAGCAGGCAGAGCTGGCCAGCAGGGGTCAGTGGCATGGAACCTCACGCCCCCATCTCCAGACCTTTCCAAGCAGGGATGGGCTACAGAAGAGCATGGGTTAATAGCCAGGCTGCACCGGATTCCCCTGAGCGCAGGCTCCAGCATCCATAGTCAGTATCCTCTGGTCTCGTTGATCCTTTGGTAAAGGGCAACATTTACCGGAAAATCTGGCCCCAAGCAGGCTGCTCCCTGCGGGGTCACTTCTGGCGTGATGGGACGCGATCCTTCCAGCACGTGCAGTTGGACACGAGTTTGTGGGTGTTAGAAGCTGGTGTGTGTGGTGCGCAGAACCCTATCGCTGACAGCCATCTTAGGACGTCACGCCAGGGTAAAACCAGTGCAGGGGTGTTGACTCTCCCCAAACAACGCCTGGTAAACACAGGAACCGTGGAGCTGAACGGAAGAGAAACCAGACCTGTCAGTGCGACACGCAGTGAGGATATCCCGCCCCATAGTGACCCGTGCAGTGGTGGTGATGGCATTTCATTGTGTTGGGTCATGGCTTCCCCTCCGTGGCGGCGGTGTCCCGGTCAGTGAGTCCCTGCTGGACATCCCAGTCTCTCGTGAGGTTTGCCACAATGTGGCCTGACAACTCTCACCTGCTGCCTGCCTAGATCCTGCCGTACATTGATGGATTTCGGCACGTCCAGAAGATCTCTGCCGAAGCCGACGTGGAGCTCAATTTGGTGCGAATCGCCATCCAGAACCTGCTGTGAGTGCTGTGTGGGCATTGGGAAGGGCAGGTTCCTGGCCCGGAAATTCACCTCGACACACCCACCCACCCTCTTCACCCCCAGAGCTGGCTTTCGCCCTGCGTCCCGTCCTCTCTTGATGCACAGGTCTCTGAATTTAGCAGACGTTCCCTGCGGCGTTAAAAGCTCTTTCCTGCAGAGAGCGTGTTATGGAAAACCCGGTTTGTGGCTAGTGGGGCGCAGCAAACCTCATGCGCTGCTGAGGGGGCTTTGCTCTGGGGAAGAGGCCAGCATCGGAGGTTTTTAACATTTCGCTGCTTGTCTTGCAGGTACTATGGGGTGGTCACGCTGGTCTCCATACTGCAGGTGGGTATGACTAGGAGCGAAAGAGCCAAGCCAGCCTGTTGGCCTGGCTTGTCTGACCTTTCACCTCTGGAGATTTGGTCTCTCTTGGAAGCAGCCTGCTGGCCCCATGTTGGCACAGCACAAAACCATCCCACTACTGAACTGACAGCCCCTAGGACAAAACAGCATGGGAGTGGCAGGCTGGAGCAGAGAACCACACCGCAGCTCAGCTGTTGTCTTGGCCCATGTCCCTGGAGCTGAGCCACTCGAGTCCACAGAACCTGTTACATTTCCCCCCTGTTCTTTGAATAGCCCCTGGTTTCTGGTCCTGGTGGGGTGGGGGCTGCATACAGGACACTCCACCACATGGGGCAGCATTGGCTGGGGGATAAAGACGCCAGATTTCGGAAGGGGAAGAATCTTGTGCTTCTGCCGTGCAGTTGTACCCTGTGCGCTATAGAGGCTGCTTCTAGGACAGCGGAGTCACATGCCAGTCACACAGCTGGGCGGTGGGTCTGTGTAGCAGCTGCTTCTCCTGAGCTGGCCCCACCAAATTATTTGTATTGTTTGGCTTAAATTCTAGGCCCAGAGCTAAAACTCTCCTGCCTCTGGTTAACAGGTGTTTCCTCTCTCTCCCCATTGCTTCCCAGTACTCCAATGTGTACTGTACCACGCCTAAAATCCAGGATCTGGTGGATGATAAATGCCTCCAAGAAGAATGTCTCTCTTACGTCACCAAACAAGGTACAGCAGGCCTGAACCGGGCGCATGTGAGAAGAGTGTGCTGGCCCAGGATATGCCGGCAGAGATCTAGGAGGGACTGAGAGCCTGTGCTGAGCCGTGGGGTTCCTTCTCCCTAGGTTTTGCTCACGCAGGGACTTGGAGGTTAACCCAGGCTGATTAACATGTCAATGCTCTGACAAAGGGGTTGAGTGGTGTAGCAGGGATGGCTGGGAGGAACTTCAAGGGGAGCTAACCAGGCTCAGTATCCCAGCCACGTAACCTACAGAGCACAACGAGGCTGCTCTGTAGTTCTGTGGGCGCCGTGGGAATGGCCTCGAGGACCCTAGGTCCTGTCCCTCTCCAGGGCAGCCTCTTCCTTCGCGCAATCCCTGTTCTGTCTTGAGGAACGGCAGCGGTCTCTCTCTTCCCCACAGGCCACAAGCGAGCCAGTCTCAGAGACGTCTTCCAGCTCTACTGCGGGCTGAGCCCCGGCACGACCGTGCGAGACCTCATCTGCCGCTACACCCTGCAGCTCCAGAGAGTGGAGGAAAGGTCAGAGGCTGCTAAGGAGGGGGCCCTGGAAGTGTGGATGAATGCCAGGGGTGCAGTGATACGGGCAGCCAGGGGCTTGGTAGCAGGGCTAGCTCAGGGTGTTCCCCTCAGTATCATTCACCCATCTTTACTCATGGGGAAACTGAGGCACTGAGGCACTGCAGCAGGGTGACTGGCCCAGGGTGTCACAGTGAAACTGCAGCAGAGGCAGGAGCAGAGCCCAGGTCTCCTGACTTTGTTCCCTGCTCTAGCAGCTTCCTTGTTCAGAATCCTACTGTGATTTCGGTTCACTTCCTGCCAGCCCAGCAGCCCCAGCTGGGTCATGTGGTCAGGCCCTTCTCTTCAACCTGTAGCCCCAAGCCTGCTGGCAGGCCGCCCGTTCAGCCTTCTGGCTTGGCTCAAGCGGCAGGAGAGGCTGGGCGGGGGCTGAGCTCCCATGCGGCAGGTGAATGGTTTCCCGGGCCGGCAGCCCTTCTGAGAGCAGTGCGTTCCCCCCTCAGGAAGCTCATCCAGTTCGGTTTGATGAAGGGCCTGATCCGCCGGCTCCAGAAGTACCCTGTGAAGATAGTGCGGGACGAGAAGAGTCACCCGGCACGACTGTACACGGGCTGTCACAGCTACGATGAGATCTGCTGTAAAACAGGTACCGGCGCCCGGCTGTGCAGCCAGAGGGGAGAGCCCAGGGATGGCTCAGCAGCAGGGGAGGGGCTTTTGTGCAAGGGCGGTAAGCAGGGGCGGCCCGTGAGCCTGGGCAGACTCGGCAGTAGCCTAAGGAGG